ATAAAAACAATTATCACAAATAATCACATCAATCTGCCTGTATATGATTTCTTTACACAATGATTTACTTTACAAAATGATTTGCTATAAACAATATTTCATTTACACAATGATTTTTCAGAAAGACAACTGAAATTTGCATATATTTGATTAAGTTTTTTTAAAAAAAACATATCATCAATATACAACTATGGCTTTGAAGAACACAATGGGGTAAAAGTTTTTATTTCAGTTTTTTTTTTAAGTAATTTTTTTTTTAAAGCATGAAAGTAGCAATGGTTGCAATAGACAAAACAGGAAAAAAAATATTTTTCAAATAAAAATATAGGTAAAAAAGGATACGGTTTTTTCCCTAATTTAAATCGTATTATGAAAAAACCCGTTTTAAATGGGTTTATGAAAATTATGCAATTTTTTGCTGACCTTTTCAAAAAGTCACCGCTTAAAACTGTTTCCATAAAAACGCCAAATTTTTTAAAAAATCGCCGATTAAAGGGCGATTTGCTAACTATGTTTGGAGCACGTGAAAATACTTTCCACGTGAATGATCTCTTCAATGTGATTAGGTTTGAGGGTTTTTCATATCAATTAACTATCGATTGGTATAAAAAAATGCATTGGGAGCAATTGATATGGAAAAAAGTTTATATAAGGATAGTAGAACTACGGATGCACCTCAAAAATCCATCGGAAAAGGTAGTTTTAATGTTAAAAAACCCTTTGATTGATCATCTCAACATCGAGATATATGACCATGAAAAATAAAAAAAATTTAAGTCTTAAAAATATTACATTTTATAACATATTATCTACACCGCCCATTTTCAATATTTTCATATGTTTATAGATCTACTTGATTTTAATCATTTTTTAAATTTAAAATTTTATAATTAAATATAAAAATAGATTTTGAGATAATCCTAAAAACATTTTACAACAAAATTATATACCATGATAAAATTTGAAAGTGCACCTTACCTCTACAGCTACGGATGCATCCGTATGCCAACTGCACCTATTGATGTGAGAAAACTCTCAAACCTAAAAAACTTCTTTTTTTAAATATGCTTTCAAAAAAAATATTTCCACATGTACCAAGCATGATGAAAAAATTTGAGCCCCATTCTCTTTATAATCCAAGCCTCTTCTCTCTCAAGCCTGGCCTCTTTTTCTTTCTTTGTATCCCTCACTCCACTCAAGCCCTACC